AATAAATGTAAATTTTGTCTCAAACTTTTCTAAGGAAAATCCATGCATTGTCACTTTGAAATAAATCAGTTTCATTTTTAATTATTATTATAAATTATGAATATTGAATTATTAATTTTAAGTTAAATCACACTGCAAACAACACTTGTGTAAAGAATTCACCTCTCCCTCTGATTTCACGCCCACCACGTGTCCTCCCTCCATCACTATCTCATCCACTGGCTTGTTCAGCATGTAGGTTCCTCCATAAATTGCACTTAACCTGTAAGTTCACAAAGGAAAAGGACCATATTTATAACACAAGGACTTTACAATGACACTCAACACAAGGGTAGGAGGAGCGGCTGACCTAGCAAACCCTTGAGGCAGCTCCCCCAATCCGTACAGAGGGTAAAGGTATGGGCTCTTCCCGTAGCGTGCCAGAGACTCACTGTAAAGTTTGATCCTATTGACGGTCTCCAGACACGGCAGCTCAAGGTAACTAGGAGGAATTAAATTCATTACATTTATCACCAATGCAAAAGAATTTGTTGCCATTTACTGGCATTAAGGCAAGCCAGCATAATCACAGTACATTAAAACGACTGTTTTGTATTACAAGGTTTCTGAAATGTTGTTTAAATATGCAAATGAGGTATTATCTATTTAAAATATGCACTGATTTGCATACATTTCCACAACAAATATCTGAACATTGGATAAAGCCAGTTTCAAAATTCTTGTTTCATTTTGTTGACATATTAGAGTTAAGAGGAGATATATCTTTTCATCACTCCATAAATCAGACAAAAATAAATAAAAATACAAAATTCACCATGCTTGTAGGAATAAAATGTTATATAAATCAGGCAAATGATATATGAATGAACCCCTCTGTAAAAACCTTCAGAATATGGATAGGAACAAAATCAGAAAGTTTGATGTAAGTGCTACTGAAGTGGAGATTTCTGGCTCAAACCACAAGAAAAAACTCATTTTGGCAAAACCTTTATAGATACGTGTTGTAATTGATATCTATATATACTTAAACACTTAAATGTGTAAAACGATGATTTTTCCTGTAGTGTATTGCCTTACATTAAATTAATTTGTTTTATGATGAGACCAATGATAAGACTCTTATGTACATTATGGGGTTTTGTAATACTAGCGACACTTACTCGTCTGTCCTGTAGAGGGCCAGGGCATGTCCCGTGAAGTCGATGACGTCCTGTCCTAAATCAAACTTCTTGTACACTTCTCTCATTGTTGTGAGTTTGGGATCGACGCCCTCAAAAGTCTTGGGGTCATTCTCATCAAAGTTGGCCACAAAAACTAGGAACTTGCGGAAACGTCTCTTCTCAAACATTCCCATTAGGTCTAGGCAACACATGTCGTGTCAACTAAATGAATCTATGTTTTTATCAAAAACAGTCATTCTTGATTTAGTCCTAGAGAGAATAAAAATGCTAGCTGGACTTACTTGAAGCCAGTGCCTCTGTCTCAGTAGAGGGCACTTTGTAGATTTTTCCTCCTTTATACACAAAGCTTCCCTCAACCACTTTGAAGTCAAGGTATCTGGTCACTTCAGTGTATAGAAGCATCTTAACTAACTGACCTTAAAGAAGATAACAATGACAAAATGACATGGTACATCATTATTTGGAATGTTATGAAAAATTACATAATTGCATGAATTAATAGGCAACAATCTAATCCAAAAACATGTTTTGAGCAATATTATCACACCAACAATCATGTTACTTAAGTATTTTTACCATTAGCCATTAAGAATTTAGGAATAAGGTCCACATTCCAGTCTCTTCCCCGGCCCATTGACTCTGGGGGGCTGTCTGAAATCCCAAATCTCTTATAGAGCTGAGAGAAAAGCATGTAAAATGTGAGTGCATGTATAAAAAAAACAAAGGATAAATAAAATATATGTACGTCAGATAATCATATTTTTGAAGATGATCTCAATTGATTTTTTAATAATATAAATATGTTAATATAAACATTGATATTAAAATATTCATTTGTTAAAATACATGGCAACAAATGACAACATTTATTATTAATATTTTATTATTAATTGCAATTATATAATTATAGTTAACGTGTGGAATATCATGCAGGCATGAGATTAGAGTAGTGACAGTGGGAAATGTGAAGCATCCTCACCTCCTCCAGGGGTGTGATGGAGGAACTTTCACCACCATAGTATGGATTTCTGTCCATATGCAAAACTTTCTTCCCATTCACAGACATGATCCCAGAGAGAATACATTCCTACACAAACAAACATCATTTAGTTGAAATAATCCGTCATGGATATATATTTCAATTTTTTTTCCATTCATCTGTTGACATGGCAGCGGGTATCTATCCATTGCCTTAACTTCCGTGTTAAACACTGGGATGGATGCGAGTCACCCCACCCAACTAGTGATGGAAAGTCCGAATCATTTCAGCGAATCGGTTCTTTTGAACAGTTCTAATTGTAATGAAGCGCTTCGAAAAACGAATTCTTCTGATTCGTCTACGTCATTCTGACATCCTGGCGTGGCCTATTTAGTGTTTTAAAGTTTGATTAACAATTGTGCTATTTATTGTAATTTTTTGTGTGTTCCAATTCCATTTGTTGCAGCCATGACATAAAAAAGTAATAATTTAGAACCTAAATATAATTTACATTTACATTAAACAAAATACTATAATTTGTTTACATATTGGCTGAAGTTTTACATCCAACTGTTTGTGTTTTAAAACTACCATATAATCAAGTCGTAAATACATTTCCAGGAGATATTTATAAAATTTCTACTATTCGGCTATTAATAAGTCAACGACCGAAGAACCCCTCATATTGATCACTGGAAAGATCCGACTCACAAGCACTATTCGTTCACGAATCGGACATCGCTACACCCAGCCCACATTATGAGCCGCAGCCCAGATCAGCCACTAGGCTATCCTCCATGAGGAAAAATAGAGGAAACGTTTGTTAAAAACACTTCTGCTTTTTACGTTTTTGTTATTATTATTAACAATACTGTTTTTGGCACGTATTTATGCAATGTCAAGCTCCCACGTCTGTTAAATTGGGCTCTTTAGATTATAACAATAACAAAAATAAATACCCACTAAAACCATAATAACAGACAAACAATGAACTAACATCACTTAAGTACAATACAGCTTTTACGTTGGCAAATCATAAAAGGCAAAATATCCGCAATAAATACATACATTTCGCCTATTTCGACTCACGAGCAAACGGGATACCTGATGCCACTCCTTAGAACCAGACACTGAGGGAAGAATCATTCATTACTTTTTAATGACCGCTTTCATGTCAATATAATGATGCAGCCTCAATTGCTTTGAACATTCGGGGGAAGGTGGATTTAGGATGGATTGCACTCGTATTCAAGCAGAAATTGCGAGAAATGCTGGCTCACTACACACACATACAGAACTGGTCCAAAGGATGCGTCAGCAATAGGCCCTCGGGTTCAATCTAACGCAAAGCATCTATTCGTACAGCCACATCTATAAGCACCCGAGCATCCTTCGGCAACATCTTAATCTGTTTCCAAAGCGAGCGAGTCATCAGTGACCCGAATGCGCTACTCACTGTGAGTCCGGTGCCCAATACGATAACATCATATTCCTCATCCATGTTGTATTACAGTGGATCTCCCGTCTTTAGCCAAATTTCCGCTGCAAAAAAAATCTGCAAAACGGTGTTGATGCAACAAAATATTTATGCAGAACCAGTCTGTTGTCCTATGAGCGGCAAAAAACACCTCTTTGCAAACAATTATCGCTCAAATAATTTGATACGTATCACAATTGATCACTGACTGTGGTGTGAGACCGGCGAGAACAACCAAAGATGGCCCTGACCGCAGCACGAGCTCCAGCGGTGCGGAGACATTCGCGAAATAATATAGTACACCTCCCTAATCGGAGATGATCGATATTGCTATGAATGTCATCAACCCAGAGTTACAATTCAACCGTAAATATAGATGTTTAAAAATACCAATGATAATTCACGCCCTGGGGAATCTTATTGAATACATTTGAATACGCTCGGTGGTACTTTCATTTCCCAATCTTCCAGCTGAATGGCACAGGGCGCAGTCACAGTACCAGATATCCCTCCGCCAACAACACTGTGGATGAAGCCTCTGTCAATAATGCGTGAATTAACGCGGTGATGATTAAGATAAAAGCTGTTTTAGTGTTCTGCAAACGCAAAGGATTTTTCTACTTATATATCAACATGCTCATAATAATATGCGATCTGTTAGTAATTAAAATAATCTTGATTAAAATGCGATCATATGACAGAGACTGTCTGTCAATATTTAAGCCCAATAAAGTGGTCCTGAAATTACAGCGTCATCACAATGCACTCCAGGTGTTTAGAGATAAATGCAACTTTACATTGAGTATTAAGAAGCAGATTATCTCTATGTAGTCTTACAAAACAAAGATAGTTTTGGATGAACTGTTAGCATTTTTATAATAATAGCGAGGACTGATATGGTATGCATTAGATGCAGTTAGCATAAAGGAGACAAACGACAGATAAATCATTAAATTTAACTTAAAATTAAAAGATATAATTTTTTATCAAATGTTTTTGTTTCTACAGGATAATGCGAGAACCTTTATTTTTTACTGTTGTAATAATGTATTTTACAATGTGCAACGGACCATTGCAGCGTTTCTCTCTGAAGATAGATAGAGAGATAGATAGATAGATAGATAGATAGATAGAAAGTTTCAAATCGAACTTAAATCTAAAAGTTCATTTTTAAATATTTGTAATCATTATGGCTGAGTTTTAAATTGAGGATGTTTTACAGCGGCTGGATGTTCTTTTTCTTGCTGGCCTATCGAATAATGCAAATGTAGTTTATTCATATGTTCAGAGTTGCGACGCTGCATCTCACGTGAACGAATCGAGTCAGAAGAGAATCACATGATTGAAGAAAAAATCAGTCACATGATCATCAACGCGCTGCCGTTCACGTGACTCTCCTGCCGAATGACGGAAGTAGGAATGCGGTGTAGTAGCCTTTCAACAATGGCCTTCACCTCGGTTTTATTATTTATCTGCTCGATTTATAGCTGTTATGCTCAAGTGCCTCTGCTCATGTGGACCAGTGATGGGTATGTCACACGTTTCTCTCTTAAATACTGTTTTCTGATTGATTTCTATTAGCGCCAGAACACTGCTATGCTTTTCTTTTATAAGTTCAGGCAGCTAAATCAGCTAACTGACACTGGAAAGCGTTTGGTAGAGGTTCATTACAGTGGACAAGGTTACAAGTCAGCCTGATTCTCTTGAGGGGGATTGCAAACTGAATGATATCTTTGTCAACACAGGTCCAACATGCCACACCTGGCCCAACCAGCAGCTGGTCAGACAGTGTCTGGTGGGCAGCTGGCGTCTTATCTGAAATCTGCCTTGTCCGTTGCTCCACACAGTGTGCTGCTCTTCCTGCAGGATAAGGTAAAATGCCCCATATGTTTAAAATGTGTGGTAAAATAATGCCCCTACAGTGCATTCTTCTGTTTTTATCTGCTATTTAGCATTTAAGACATTTGATTAGTCTTGTAATACAATATTATCTAGTTATATGACCATTTATATTGGTTGAAACGTATGAAACAATGAATGATGTGCTGTATGTTAGAAAAATGTCCTCATAAAGGTAATAATGCCCTTTAAAATCAATTCCACATATTGTCCTTTAATGAAAAAGTTAATTTCTGACATTGGTGAAAAGCTTTACAATGTGAACAGTGTAGTAGGAATGTATTTTACAATGTGGAACTATTAGTGAAGTAGTTTCCTCCTCTGACAGATATATTTACTCTCACATTTACTGGACTTGTCAGTATAGTGTGACTTTGAGCCACAGTCTTACTTCCCCATCCATCTTCCCTTGGACATACCAGTATTACATTACCCTTGTATAATTTTGATCATCTGCAAACTGATATGACAAGATTTATTTTCTTTATTGCAATATTAAACATCAGAGTTGTGAAACATTGACTAACATGTGTGATTGGTAGATAGCAACAATGTATATGTGATCTGAATCAGTGTTTTTTTTCAGCAACTGAAATAAAACTAAATTTCAGTTTGTTGCAGCATTTCTCATTTTTAAGTATTAAAATTGAATTGAAAACTGAAAATATCAGAATAAAATCTAATTCAAAAATTAATAAACAGTGTAATAGTATAAAAAAATAATACTAAAATAACATTGAGCTGTGTTATGTAACACATTATAAAGGGTTATTATAATTAACTAAAAGTAAAACTAAAATCATAAAAACATTTTTAGTTGCTGGAAAAAAGTAAACAAAAATAAAATAAAATGTACTAAAATAACTAAAACTAAAATAAAAAACTTAAATATTAAAACTTTAAATAAAGTTAAAATGAAAACAGAAAATATGAAAATAAAAACTAATTCAAAATATTAATACAAACTAGAATAGTATCAAGGATACTAAAATAACTGACTTTTGCCTGCTCTCCCCACTTTATAGTTAAGTATGGAAGACTTCACTATGTACGGTGGAGTGTTTGGCAACAAGCAAAACAGTGCCTTTTTGAATGTAGAGGTGGGTGTGTGCTTTCTGTTTTTATTTATTTATTTATTTAATTCTGGAGGGATAGCACAACTAGATTTCTCTCAACATTCTCATCAACATTTCTCTCTTGGTATTCAAGTCAGCACTTCAGATGTCCTCCAATCCCCTGGTGTTGCCAGCCCTGGACTGGTCTGCATCACATTCCATCCTGGAACTCTTCCAGGGAGAGCTGGGTATCCCAGCAGTCCACATCGACCTCAGCACCCTGAAGGAAATCAAGCTGAACACCGCACAGCCTTCACTGCTGGCTGTCCATCTCCCTTACACTGCTGGGTAATATGTTCTGTAATGTTATTTATTTTATGAATAAAATGTCTTACAAAAAGCGTTCAGATTCTTAACCAATGTATTGGTTATAAGGCACTTTCATGTTTTTCATCTCGGTAACTTTCTGCAGCACAGGGACTAAAATATAGCATTAAATATAAAACAATGTGATGCCAAAATGATTAATTTTGTATTCCAGAACTTTGAAATAAAACAAACACGGCACACTATTTCAGTAAAATGAAAGAACTGGTTCATCTCTGAATGATTTTTCAAAGAATGTTTTCTAATATAAAACAATGTAATTCCAAAATGATTAATTTTCTGTTTCAAAGTTTTGCACAAAATTTCAGTAAAGTGAAGCAATTGGTTAATGTCTGAATGCTTTTGCAAGGCACTCTGAATTTCAATAATAATGTTAAAATGTTAACTTCCCTTTTTTGTTCTGTTTGTAGTGTTGATATTAAAGCTTAGTTTTTTTTTTTTAAATAAAGTAAAAATATTAGATATAAACTGAAGCAGAAAATTACAAATATTTCCTTGACCACCACTTAAAATAAGTTTAAGTTAGTTGAAGTACAAAATAAGTTGAAGTACTAAAATTATTACAACTAAAAATCACTGGAAGCTAAATATAAATGTAAAAACAAAAAAAAATAATGAAAATGACAAAAGCACACAACAAAATTATCAAAAAAACAAAACAAAACAGAAAATGTAAAAATAAAAGGTAATTTAAATTTTAATAAATACTATAATAGTATATTAATAATACAAAAATAACACTGTTTTTGCTTTGTTTGAATGTCAGGGATCAGACAAAGGAATTGCTTTTGAAAAATGGTGAGTAGTTACATTTTTTTTTTTATCAGGTTTGATAATTATTTTAATATAATTGTTTGTTTATTGCTTTTTATGGTTTAATTCTTCCTAACTTGATGCCTTGTGTTTGTCAGTATTGTTGTACTATACTATAGGATGTAAGATTTCTTTTCTGATTAGATGCGATCATTGGAGAGGTCCTCGACGTGTTCAAATCTCAGGATGTGCCTTACACTGCTGTATACACCGGTCTGAAGCCCTCTAGAGTAAGTGCTCACATCTACCTTACCTTGACATTTATTCATTTCGCAGATGCTTTTATCCAAATAAGGAAAATCATAAGGACAAGTTAGTATGTACTGCACTTTGTTCTCTCACATTATGTTCCTCTTCATTTGAGATGATAAATCCACGACAGCTTTGATGAAACCCTGAACAAAATATTTTTTTGTCATTTATCCTTCTTTTGTAGGTCATTGAGGAGACCCCAGTAATGGCAGGACGTTCTATGGGCCGGTCGCTACTTCAGGCACCACCACAGTCATCTGTGAAACCTCCACTCGTCGTCAACAACACAGCGGGCCAGCCCTGCATCCTGCTGTGGGCCGACACTCTCCTCGCTCGTTACTCTGGGAACCAGGATGATCTGGCAAGAGACATTTTTAATGCTTCTGCTGACTTCACGGCTGGTTCAGTTTGCAATGAAACACTGTCAAGGTCAGGATCCTAATCAAGCAGAAACCAGTATACATTTAAATATTTTTCAATGTTTTCCTCTTGAACGTATAAAATTTTTTTTTTTTCAGACTCGTCATTAATTACCAGAACGTTCTGAATTTGCGATCCCTCCAGCTTATGTGAGTATTCAACACATAATTCATCAATGATATGTATTATTTGTGATTTTGAAGAAAAGGATTTACTGCACTTGTTGGATATGAAGAAAAAAACAAAAACAACAGAATTTTACATGCATTTTTAATAGGGATGTAACACTACACTCATGTCACGATTCAGATCAATACACAATACTGATCTCACGACACAATACTCTCACAGTACTTTGAACAGATGGTACGTTGTTGTTTTTTTTACATGGACCCCCATGTACAGGCCAATACATTCACTTTACATTTAGTCATTTAGCAGACGCTTTTATCCAAAGCGACTTACAAATGAGGACAATGGATTGGAAGCAATCAAAATCAACAAGAGAGCAATGATATGCAAGTGCTATAACAAGTCTCAGTTAGCTTAACACAGTTCACGTAGCAAGTTTTTTAAATTTTTTTTTATTATATAATAAAAAGAAAACCGATAGAATAGAAAAAAAAAAATATATTTTTTAAAGAAAACAAGCAGTTAGTAAATGTCAATAGTGACACCAAAATAGAAATATTCATGATTCTGTTTATCTTTCAGAAAAAATTTGTGTTAAACATGTATACTTGCACGATGTTCCTGACTATATACATTTAAAATGTTTTAAATATTGTATTTGAGTAAATAATGTATTTTATGTTTACTTCATTACAAATGATTAATAAACATGGAAGCTCAGTTGTGTGACCTTTTGAATTTACCATATTTAATGCTAAATTAAATCTTTCTAAACTTGCAAAATTTTAATTATTTAAAACCTTTGGCCAATAGTGTATGCATGATATATATTGTTGTATTGTAACAATATATTGTGATACCCATTAATTTGTGATACTTCGCCAAAGCTTCTCTATGCGCAAGATCTTCTTTCCTGTATCTGCTCGCAACTGGTCGGTGATGTTGTCAAAATTGTAAAAATATACTTGATTTTGTACGTGTCAAAAAAGATGTGGTTGGTAATCAGGAATTTATGGATCATCAATTTATTTTGATGTCTTGTAGAAAGTGGTGAAATTATTTTCATCTCTCCCTTATTACATTTTTTATTATTTGATTAACTTTGATAAAGCTTTACAATAAGGTTCTATACAAATAAATGCAATAGCTAACATGAAATAACAATGAACAATTCTTTTACAGCATTTGTAATGATTTTATATATAAATTGAAGTTGTATAAATGAACATTGTTATATACTGTACATATACATATATATGAAGGAACATGGGTTAACATTGACTATAATACGAATTTTATATTTGTAAATTAACGTTGGTCTAGAGGTTAATAAATGCTGCAAAAAAGTTGTTCATTGACATTAGCTTATGATTCCTAATGCATTGAATTGAACCTACACATTTCAGTACACATACAGTGCACATGCATGTTTCTTATGAATGCAATAACTTTTGACATGTTTTGCATTAGAACATCTTGTGCTGTTATTTTTTGGGCTACTGTTATTTAGTTTGTCATTTAAATCTGGTGGTTTGTTTCTCATATTGTACTAGATTTGTATATGTTTTTTGTAGATGTACATTAAGAGTTTCCAATATTTAATAATGCCAAATGTACAATTTAAGTGCCTAAGACGGACCAGTCACTGCATGGAAAATGAAAAGTGGTCATTAGGCTGAATTATGATTTATTGGTTATTAGACTAATAAAAGTGCCAGAAGTACCCAGTAGTCATGTATTTTCAATGAATAATTGTTTGAATTAATTTAGGAGATGCCCAAAATAAAAAAAATATATAAAGATTGAATGATTTATAGTAGACTTAAATTTGTTAAATGAAAATAGCTTTTCAGAATTTTGCTGTTGGCTGTACAACAGGATGCAAAGTATATTGAAGTGACTATTGTATATTTAAGCTCATTGGAGCAATATTCCATTCAAAACATGCCTTCAACATGCCATGTCCAGTAGGATTCATGTTCAGTATGTTTTTATTTTACAATGTGTTTTGTTGGGCGTTGTTGTGAAACATACATTGTATATTCTACAGATTCAAATGAGCAGTTCACGTCACTAGATTTGCAATCAGAGCAATGCATTGTAATCATGTTATGAACATCCTTTTTTCTAGTTGAATGATTAAACTACCACTAAATATCTCAATTGATTGCTCCTTGTAATGATGATTTTAAGGACAATGTTGACTGAACGTTTTTTTTTGCCAGCCTTGTGGTAAAGAAAGCAGCTATGCATGTAGAATTTTGCAATATGAAATGTATCTGCTGATGATGGAGCAACTGGTCTTGCAAAATCTAATTTTACATTAGACATTTGTCAAACTGAATCAATGCTCAAGTCTGCGATATCTAAACACAAAAAAAAACTCCCATGTAGACTATCAGCATTAATGGTTGCAGAAGTGAAGAATTTTCCACAATTTTTCATGGGAACTTCTTTCCTGAGAATTTTTATGCACAATTAAGCATTTTGTGGTTTGATACATTGCATATATATTTAACTACCTGCTCAAAAAAAGTGTCTACTTTTTCAGCATTCTCTGCTGAAACCACCAAGATGAATCTCTTGATTTGAAGCAAAAAGTAGAATAAAAATGGGCACTTAAATGCTCATGATAGAATGAACTGCTTGTGGAGCATTGTGAATGACATATCTAAAACTAAAAATGATACAACTGATCAAAAAATAAATGTATGCAGATATATCTGCAAAAATAAGATTTTTGGAAAAGGGAACGTCTACATACAGTATTCACAGTCAGGAGCCCTGTGAATAGGATCACGGCTTGAGCGGGGTAATTGGGATACTGACTCAAGTGTCATTTGCAATGATTCATGGGAGCAGAGATTTCTTTGAAAGATGGCGTTCTCTGCAGGATTATGGGTAGTCTAGTTCTACACCAAGGAAGAGTCATCACCTTTTCAAAATACTCATGCTTTGAGCTGCAATCCAACAGTCAGCATGTGCATGACTAAACAGCTGGTATACTAAACCTTCACCTCAAAGGAATCTCCATTTCCCATGGAAAATGTGTGGAAATCTAGAAATCACATAAGGAGCAACTGAGACAGTGCAAATAACTTACCGATTCCTTTTGAAACGCAGCACTCCAACCACACCTAATAAACGTAAAGAAATTGTGTTACAAATGATGAACCTTGATTGTAATAAAAAAAAAAGACCAAATTCTTATTTTAACAATGTCAGAATCCTACATAAAAAGAACAACAAAACTAATTTTCTTGAATATTTCACAAATAAAAACAAAACTGATACTGTGTGACAGTTGTCAGGGGGATTGGACGAAGTGCACAATTGGATTTATGCTCAGTGAGGGAGGAATATCAGCCCAAGTGTATATGTTTAGCACATTTCTCACACACCAGTAGATTCAGTTATGATTTAAATAGATTATAATAAATGTTGTTAATAATAAATTATACTACAATATACATTAAGTTTACTTTAAATTTAACAGTATTCAGAACAGGAATGCAAAATATAAGTTTAAACGATTTGTTGTGGAGTGACGAGAACTTTAAAAAAAAAAACATGTTTATTATACGTTAACATCTTTTTTTCTCTTCTCGGTTTCTCTCTCTCAACAATGCAATTATGGCCTTGTGTGATAATCAGGTAAGACTTATTTTTCAGAATATAAAGTCATTATCAAAAAGGAAAAATTAAAACATTATCGGTTTCTTTGCATTTTGTTCATTATAAAAAATGAGCTGACTGATTACATTTTTGGAAAAAATTATTTTATAACTGATGTTTTTTTCCCCCTGGAACACAAACTCAGTCATTTTTAAAGCATAACACTGCTACAACTTAAAAGATTTGGTGACTGTATTGAATAAGAAGGTATAGGACATGTAGATTATCAGGTGAAATATGCAGACTGACTTACCCAGACCAATCACAACCATCACAACAATCACAATCAGTGCAACAGCCCATGGAGCTGCTAAAAATAAATAAAACAAAATAAATAAATACATTGTTTAATGGATTAAGACAAACACTTTGTAAAATGTGAAATCCCGCTGTAACACTTGCAACAAAATTAACCATAACCCAGAAGTAAATATTCATTTAAAACTAACTACAATGTCCAACTAGAAATATGACATGACCTGCAGAATGCTCAGAAACCAGCCTATTATGGGATACTTTGAATCTCTGAGCTGTCACACTCCGTCAAATATATGAATTTACATTTACAGAAATACTAGAATTATCACATTTCATAATCCACCAGTTTCATACATTTCAGATCAAAAAGATCAAGGAGCCAAGGGTGACCATTACTGACAAGAGGAATCAGCTCTACTGAATAGTATAGTAAAAATGTTTTTTTTTTTTTTTTTTTCTAATACTAAATTTAATTTAACTTTCTACAATTTTATGTACCTTTTTTTTTTTTTTTTTTACTAATACTTACGTGTACTTGTACTTGTCGGTGTTGTGTCTCCTGTGGCATAAAAAAAATACAGTTAGGAAACCGTAAAAGAGGAGGAAAAATTTGTAGATTCTAATACAAACAGATGGATAAGGTTATAGATGGAGTAGATTATTTTTAAAAAGATACAGTGGACAGACAGTTTAAGTAAACAGTTATGCAATTATACCAGACATATAATTACTCTCTCATGCTAAGAAAAAAAAAAAAAAGAGAGATTATTCCCCTAACAGGCCCATTATAAAGAGCTAATTACATTAAAGGGGTCATGAACTGCCTTTTTTATTATTTTGTACTGTTCTCTGAGGTCCACCTATAATGTTATCAAGATTTTTTATAATAAAATATAGATTCATAAGACAATACCATTCTCTTTAGGAGCCTTGGATGGTGTGGAAATCTCAGGAGTTGTAGGTAGGGCTGAGAATCAACATATGCATTGGGTTAGGGAACTATAGAAATGTGAGTACAAGAAGTACCGACAAACCCAGAAATAGTCACACTCTTAAAGGGGTCATGAACTGCCTTTTTTATTACTTTGTTTTATTACTTTGTACTGTTCTCTGAGGTCCACTTATAAATGTTATCAAGATTTTTACATCAGAAAACATCATAATTTAGCAGTAATAGGCTATTTTCTGTCCTGTTTTGACCCCCCTCATCGGAACGCTCTGTTTGAATAGACGTGGCGGATTGTAGACTCGGAAGTAAACGCCGACTGCTATGATTGGCTAACAGTTGTGTATGTTTGACAGCCTACATCCTTCATAGATGGACGCTGCTGTGATTTAGATTAAAAACGCATAAATAGTCAGTACATATCAAACGATCTGTAATAACAGATAAAGCAATAGTGAACACGTAATAAAAACAGTTACTCACACACTCGCACTTGTGTGGTGCGACATTACTGTCGAATCCAATATAGTCGCACAGCATCTCTTTTAAGTTCAGCCTTTCAGAAAACCCGGCGTTGAATTGTGCCTTGTTTGTAAACGAATTCGCAGAGAATACTATTTTACTAAATACTATTTATATACTACTGAATACTATTTGTGACCCTGGATCACAAAACCAGTCTTAAGCAGCACGGGTATATTTCTAGCAATAGCCAAAAATACATTGTATGGGTCAGAATTATTAATTTTTCTTTTATGCCAAAAATCATTAGGATATTAAGTAAAAATCATGTTTAATGAAGATATTTTGTAAATTTCCTACTGTAAATATATCAAAACATAAATTTTGATTAGTAATATACATTGCTAAGAACTTAATTTGGACAACTTTAAAGGCGATTTTCTCACAGTAGAAGTTACATCTTACTGTAGACTTCAAATCTGGGTACTGTCTTATGTTTTAAAATCACAAAGGGAGTTTGGTGCCATCAGGCTAACGTGACAGTCACGACTCATGCAGCTGTAAGGTTTTCTTTTTCTTTTGTTTTTACTCGCGATCTTTACAACACGCATTACATTATGTATTTCATGGCACACTCGTTTTATGCGTATTTGGCGCCACCTATTGTTGTGGGTGTATTATTGACATGTCAAAGTCTAGACCCTGAATATAAGACGACCGCATTTTTTCAGATGTATTTCCAAGAAAAAAATATAGTCTTATATTCGGGTCAATACGGTAGTTGTATC